ACAATCTAACAAATTTTGATGCTATAGCATCTTAATTAGATCTTAATAATATGTTGAAAGACATATATTAATATTTAATAATGAAAATAATGATAATTTTTAAATCTGTGAAAATCTGTGAAAATAATAAGACTGCGAAGAATATCACAAGTTGGCGTTTCGTCCCGGTTTCCATTACTGGACTCATCAGTAAGGCATTGTAATTTTAAATCTTACGAGTCTATGAACATCATCATTCAATATATATATTTATATCGCGCGGCCTGAAAAATGCGCTATTACATACATATTTAAATATTAACAACAATGTGAAGAATATCACTACGTCGACTAGCCAACAGAGGTCTATAGTTACTCATTTCGATTCTCGCAAGTGCTGAATTATATGAGTGATTGTTTATATAGAACTTCTTTCTAATATCTCCCCAAGGCGTCTAAGGTAGGTTTCCATTACAATATTATCTGCTTTCTCAATTACAGTGAGAATAATTTTATTTGGTGCATTTCCTATTTCGCATTTATATCTCGTTCTTTGCATTCGGAGTCCGTTTTACCAGTGAAGTAATAAGCAACAGCGAACTTCCATCGACGAGCATCTCTTGCTAGTAAAATGACTAAAACTTTTGTTGCAATCCCTGAGTGTGTTGATAAAGTGCAGGATCCAATAATTCTTTGTATTGATGGATCTAACTTTTTACCAGGTTTTATTGCCATTTCATCAAGAACTATTATACATTCTTTTTCATGTGTGACCATATAAGCTATCTCAGACATTAGCATATGTCAAACACTTCGAATAGAATGCCGCTATTAAATTTTAAATGATATACCTCTGCATCTGCAGTATTCGAACACAAGGAAAAATAGGAAAGCGCTTAACGAAATCAGTATATGACCTTGCGTGTTCCCCACATTTCATTTTATTATAAAGATAAGAGCGTCTTTTAGAGTTACTAAGCTCAATTTCAATCCATTACTTGATTTCCTACCTTGATAGCAAAGAGCGTGTTGCCTGGCGACGAGCGCGACTGTTTAACAGACTTTGAGAGAAGTTGTCATCTGTCGTAGGAGCTGCTGTAAATGTGCGATTAAACTGCATTTATTCTGCGCTGGAGAGAGAGAGAGAGAGAGAGAGAGAGAGAGAGAGAGAGAGAGAGAGAGAG